ACACACACACACACACACACACACACACACACACACGCACATACATTCTCCTGTCTATTGATGGGGAGCGCCACTTGCTGGAAACTGGGTCCAGCATCCCATGAACATCGTGAATAAAGCACCAACCGACACCCCCCACACACACACTCTTCGAGTTGTGTATAGCGAACATGACAAAACATACATACAACATAATCACTACCTTACCCTTCCCGAACCGCATAAACAAACGAACTATGGGCTGCGCACCCGTGCCCTCACGGTAAGTCAATCCACGGGCGGCACGGACTTCAAGTTGGACCAGGACGAGACACTACAGTCGAATTTCGTGTCACACGAGCCGTTTGGACGGGCCGTTGGTGGTAGCAGATAGTGGTCCCCCGTCGTTGTCCCGCCACACACCCAAAGATGGCAGGAACGCGAAATTCGAATTTTGGCGGAGGGCGAACGGATTTTAAAAATGCGACACCATGTACTTGAAGCGGGTGGTTTGTGGAAGATAGAAGAAAGACGACACATTTGCATGCGGGTCGTTCACGAGTGCAGTCACAATCCGTTGCAGTTCCTGCTCCACGACTGTCTTCTCCGTTCGAGCGTCGGCTGGACGGTCAATCTGCCATGCGGATACTCCATTTTATCGCGTGTTTCGGCCGTGGGGCTTTTGTCCGTGGTGCTGCAACGTCAGTCGGCCGTCTTCTTTCCAGTCTCCGTCAGTCGCACACAGATGCCTCCGCCGATGTACGAATGACGCTGCAGTCTCCTCTCGTCATCCCCGGACGTGCAGCTTTGCGAGGTTCTTTTCGTGGCTGTGGATGTGGTGACGTGGTGTTGTCGTCGTCGCTGCCCTCGTGTGCTCCGTCGCTTGTCCCATGCGCATCCATGTCACCTTTTGTCGTTGTCCAGTCGCCGAGACAGCCGATGTGTAGCGGAGGTTGTCCATTGTGGAACCGACAAGTGGAGGTTCCCAACCGTGTTGGAGAGCGACAATACGCGAATACTGGGCACGTGGTGATTGGAGAGGGGACGGCTGCATCCACGCATTTGCCTTGCAGGGGGTGTCGATGATGTTCTGGTGTGGACTATCCTGTTGTCGTCGTAAAGCTGAACGGTTACAGTCCCGGGCATGGTGGAGGCACATCACCGGTCTTTCTGGGCGCAATAGTCGTTTTGCTTTTCGTCTTTGTAGCAAGGGTGTTGTTGTTTTTGTCCTTTGTGGTTTTGTGTGTCGTCGTTGTCCTTGTGTCTAGGTGTCTGTAGTCAACCTCGAGACAAGGGTTAGCGAAAGCTTTCGCCTTTCGTCAGCACTGTGCCCGTCTGCAAGCTGGGAGTGGGTCGATGGAGTCCACACGTTGGACAGGTGATGCCGACGGTGGTTTTCATGATGTCCATGACATGCACAATGGTCATGTGCATGCACGACCCCACTGTCGCGGGTTGTCGACACCAAGCATGCATTCATTCAGCGTCGTGCGTCAGGATCCGTTGGTCATCGGACGTGCCTGCTTCCGTGCAACTGTGCGTGCTCCACCGTCGACATTCCGTGGACGGTATGTCGGGCAGTCTGCCGAAAGCATGCAAGTCGGTGTTGCGCATGGAGAGCCCCCGACACAAGATATGTGGGCGGGCGGTAGTTACGGTGTTGGTGATCATCTTATCCCGGGCCACCATGTATGGTGCAAGGGCGTGCACAGAAGATGCGACCATGGCCGCAGGTTACGGCATGGCGTCACCGTCCAGACAGACCATGGGCATGGGTGGCAGGCCGTGGTCTGCCCAATGCGGACAGAGCACGGGGCAATTGTTCGGGACGCGGACTTCCCCGTCTCCATCGGTAGGTGATGAGATGGACACTGTGTGGACTTGGGCCACCACAAGTCCGATGACCCCCAACACGCGTATGGACCCACCTTATAATGACGACACCGACGGTTCCAAAGCAGGTGACGATGATGGCTAGGCGGAGCAGGGAAGTTTCGTTCCCATGACGGCACAGTCAATGGGCGAGCATGGAGATGTGCACAACCGAGGTGGAGCAGCTGAGACGGTGACCGGGCGGCCTGCGAATGGTTGGCCGCCATCTCAAAAGAAACAAAACGTGCCATGAACGTTGGATAGCGGATAAAGCTCACTTTTTTTATGGGTGAGGATGATGCCCTTATGGCGGATGCTCATGGCCAACACCGCTTCAAGCAGAGGAAGGAGCGGTATGAATGGGTGAAGGACAAGATGAAGGACGCCGGCTTCAAACACAGGAGCACTGAAGATTGCCGCAAGAAGTGGTCGAACACGATGCAGATGGCGCTGCTCATCGTCGAAAAGTGTGGAGAATCTGGTCAGCCGTCGTATTGGGATCTGTCTGTGGAGGAGCGAAAGAAGAAGAATCTCCCACTTTCGTTTGAGAAAGCGTTGTGGGACGCTATGAAGTGGCAACTAAATCGGTCGTCGATGAAGTGTGACAATACAATGGCTTCGGAGAACCTGATGGCGGACGGTGCAAATG